ACAAGGTCATGGAGATTTATCGTGAGAAAGCCCGTGTTCTGTCTCCCCATTGATTTTCACATTGGGCAATTTTGTGTACATTTAGTTGAAGGCATAAAAATGTTGGACTTGTTGAAACCCATGGAGCCTCCAGTGAAAAGAAGAGCTGGTCTATGGGTTGTACAAGCAGGACGAGGGTCATATCGAGGAAGTTAGCAGTTTGTTTGCTTAAATTTTGTTGGGTTTATTTCTTGTACTAGAAGTTTATTTACCTTTGTCGTATAATTGATAATGGGGACTAGTTTCCTGCGAACAATCCTCCAACGCCTTTGCTGTGATTCTCCGTGGGATTATGCGGTTTTTTGGAAGCTTAAGCATCAACATGAAATGTAAGTCAACTTGCGACTTTTTTTTTCTTTTTCTTTTTCCCTTTATTTCATTTACTTTCCTTTTTCTGTTTGGTGATTTCAAATTAAAATTTGTTTGTTTGGTGATTTCAAATTAAAATTTGTTGGTTGAAGATGGTTCAAACCTTATATCTGTACATTCAATGTACTCTACTCTACGGATAGAGGAATACATAGAGTTGAACATAGGAACTCATTTCCATTTCTTGTTCAACTTTCTTGGTTGATTGGTATAGGAAGCTTTTTATGCTCTTGATAGTTTTATACACTTGCAGTTTTTCATTTAAAAAATGAGGTCTTCTTTAATTTGATTAGTTCATCATAGGGCTCAAGAGATTGCCTCACAAATCCATATGATCAATCGATGCATTAAAAATTTTGGATCGAGACCTTAGCATGCTGTACCTAAACTTCAAACCTTTTTTTTTTTTTTTTTTTTTTNTTTTTTCTGATGGTTCATCAGTTTCTTATGCTGTTTATTTATTTGGTCAATTTTTTTGTCTTTATATTTTGCTCGGCAATTATAATTTTAAGCAAGATTATTTAATTTATTGCGTATCTTAGAAATTAGAGATACCATTTATGAATCTTTAAATGCTGAAGGATCTTTTTTCTCAGGGTATTGGTGTGGGAAGATGGCTTCTATGATCCTATGAAGCTAAGAGATCCCTTATTGGATCCGACAGAATATCCGTGTTTTGAACTCCCGGACAAGATATTGCCCTCTTTCCCTTCAACTACCCTCGATGGAATACCTTGTGAAAATCCAATTGGGCTTGCTGTAGCTGAAATGTCAAGTGCTTCACATGTAGTGGGAAAAGGGTGAGATACTGGTTTGTTTTTTACAGTCAATTATGTATCTACTTATTTAATAATTGTATGCAAAATAGTTTTTTGAAATCATGACTGTTTGCTGTACGCTCTATTGTTGTCATAAACTCTTTCTGCAACAGGCTTGTGGGAAAAACGGCATTCACGGGGAATGCTAGATGGATATACTCAGACAACATAGTATCTAATTTGTTCAATTCTATTTTTCCTGAGGTGAGTTTCTCTATTTAAAATCTGCAACTGTGCTAATCTTCTTATTTATTATTTAAATATTTTAAGATTTTTTTTTTTGTTTTTTGTTTT